GCAGCTGTCCATCATATCTGATTGAGCGTTCGCTATCCGCCACCTGCGACCCGCCCTATACCTGAGGCTCGGTTCCCCTATAGAGCTTGAGACTAAAGGGGAGGGCAATTTTGTGTTTAGAGGGTAAAAAATTAGAAAAACCAATTTTTACCCCATAAAACACCCCGTAAAACCCCGTTCCCATGGTCCAATCAGGCTGGTTCGGGAACTCAATCAAGTTGATCCTGCCTTACACCTTCAAACCAAATTTCATCAAAATTGAAAAAATAATTACTTAAGTTATCGTGTTCAAGGACACATGGGCGTGTAGTTGTGAACTAGCATCAGCTGACTAATAGTTTGCTTATGTTTACATTTTTGGATATTTTGGTTGTCATGGTGACTAATAGTTGGTAGAGTTGAATGAAGGTATTTACTCAGGGGAGGTATAGAAGAGGCTACGATGACAGCTGTGGGCTTCTTATTAGCTGAGGGAACGCCATTACCGTAACAAAACGGTCAGTAGACATCGGCCTCGGTGGTCTAATGGTTAGCGTGCCGGGCTGATATACTGTAGGTCCCGGGTTCGAATCCTGCTGGTAACATTAACTTTTTGTCCAAGATTTTTTTATTATCAGCAAGTTTGGTTGGTTTGGTTCGGTTATTACAGTTTAATTTTATTATTAAGTCATTACAAAATTTTAATTGAGCAAATTCTAGTTTTATTTAATAAACAGAATTATTTTTCCGATTACTAAACTTTTGTTGTATTATTTCTTTATCAGCAAGTTTGGTTAGTTCGGTTAGGTTATGATAGTTTAATTTTATAATTTAAAAATAATAAAATTGAATTTGAGACATTTATAATTTTATTTTATGAACAGGACTATTTTTGCGATTAGTAAACCTTCATTGCCAAAGTGCTCTCTACTACAGCGCTGTTCACGGAGGAATTTTGAACTAAATGCCTCATTCGTACCTCCCCTAAGTCAGACCCTTGAATGAATGTTTGAAAGGTGAAAAAAAGAAGGTTTGTTTTTTGTTCTGATTTTTGATGTGTGAAGTAAGTAAGTTGTAGAATGCTCTGAAGAGTTTTATTTTCTAATTTATTTTCCCATAGCCTACATATATCTATATATATAATGAATAACTTCTTGATCAGCATCGTACAAGTAATTACCTGAAAAACAAACAAATTATTATGTTGGGTCATTCGCCTATCGGGTCTGATGATGATTGGAGTGTCCAATCGAAATCGATCACCACTTACCATCTTTCATATGTATTTACCATCGTGTGATTCAACAGTTTAAGTGTAAATATATTTTTACTGGTGTTATTAGACGTATAATTTGTTTGTTTTTTCAGATATATATAATACGCTAAGCCTAATTTTAATGATTAAAGTAAAAGTGTAAAAAAATGGCCCTGATCTGTAGTTTTGATAAGTGTTTTTCATTTTTAAATCTTTATTATGTAGTTTGGGCAGGATCTTCCATCAAAGTTGGGTTTTCTCCCATATGATTAACACGGGGGAATCTACAGTCGGCACCACGTAAGTTTGCAGTTGGTGGCAGCCAATCACAAGACAAGGCTAGTGCGACGTTGCCACATCGTCCATTGACAACACTAATTAAAATATACAAAGCAATATTTTCAAATCAGTTGGTATTATTAGATTTGGCAACACCGCACTGTTCTCATTGGTTGATTCCAAAACATATGGTAAATAGGCTCCTCCCTCAACTGCAAACTTGTGTGATCTCGACTTTAAATATTTAATTTGAAACTTTGTCTCCACTAATTTGAGAGAATGGCTGGGCGTAGAAACTTGGTAGAGGTGTCCAAAGAAAGAAAGAAAGTCTACTTTTAGCATGTGAGGGGTTAAACAAAAAATTGCTTATCGGAAACGGCTCTTCCCCCTTTATTTCGATTAACCAGGGTTCTCCTGTATACCTTCCAGGTTGCAGCATAAAAAAGTGCAAATCAAATAATTGAAATTTTTTAAAATCCTAATATTTAATGTACAGAATGTCCAAAAAAACCCGAGGCGGTTGAATATTTTTCGAAATATTTAAAATAGAGCTAACAAACTTTGCACAAAGTTACTGGACACAAAAATCTATTTTATCACATATTCAGTGATCCGCTCTACTTCCTCAGGGGGACGGCCCGATAGGAGTCAAAAGAAAATCTTAAATGTAAGCATTGCATAGGTTGATATGTATATAAAATAAAAGGTCTTTATTGGTAGAATACAATTCCGCAAACCCGAACTTAAATGGATAACTGAGTTAAAAATGACAGCTATTCAAAGATGCATTGATTTTGCAATGATGTTATACGCCACCTCCTCAGGGGGGCGCCCGCCAGAAGTCTGCAGAAAATCAAAACCATAGGTCGAAATGCACATCAAATTAAAGGGCTTTATTAGAATACAATGCCGCAAATTTGAGCTCAAAATAACAATTAACTTAGTAAAAAATTACACATGTTCAAAGATTTCTTGAATCTGCCATTTTAAGTCTTTGAACGACTGTTAATGCTATTTAATACCATAGAACCAACTTGTGTATTTGAAACAGCTGACGAAACTATTTTATTCCTTTTAAATATGACGAGCTGGTGGCCCGTCCTACGTACAGGAATCAAGTTGTCAACTAAAACGGAATAATTCAGAACATCTAGTTTACACGCATAGCCACAAAATTCTGGCAGTTTTATGGGGAAGATCACCTTACAAACAAATGTAACGTGGCCACCTATTTATTTCATTCGAATATAGACCTAAAATATGGCGATATGCATTTTAAATCCGAGAATTTTACCATAAAACAGCATTTGTGTCGATTTGAAAAATCTTGAAGTGAGATTGGCGACCGATTCACACTAGTTTTGAGTAGAGTAGCTACATGCCACCTCTAATTGCATACTGTACTACTTATGTACTTACCGTACCTTATCTTACCTCCGTGACCACTGAAACTTTTATGAGAATTCTCTTCTATCACCTGCCTCTTCAAAATTTAGATCCCAGTCTGAGGATGCATTTCACAACTTGATATTTCCCGTCTATCGTGTGGTACTCCTTGGAATATACTTTTTAAAAGTTTATGCAGAGCCTGTCCATCCAAGATTTACCTACTTCTGGAAAGCATCCCTATATTTGGATGTTAACACATTTCTCTTAGCTCTCTGTTCTTTTTTATTTCGACCTCTGGGCCGTTATCTTGAACTGGTCTGTATATTTCCTCTGCACTTTATTATCTAATCCAACATTAAGGTTTTTCGGTTCTTTGGTCAGTGCCCAAGTTTCTGAATCATCAGTACTACGGGGATAGTTGGTATGGTATGACTCGACTTTGGTTTCTGCTGCAGTTTATTTGACAGTTTTATAGTGACCTACTACACCGATTGACGCTTTCATTACTAACCAAAATTTTAGTATGCCGACACACTCACATTCAAACATACAGAAAAAAGTATCAACACGTAAACCACTTATATCTTAAACAATTAAGCGATAAACTGCTGAAAAAATATTTCCCAAATATAAGTTGAAATTTGCAATGCATAAACTAAATACTTACACAGATTGCATTTACGACAAAACTTGATTAAACGCAAGTGTTTGAAATGTTTAGTTCAAAAACACACATTTCCTGATAACGCAGATCCTTCACGGTAGGGGAAAACTACCTACATTTTAAAGTGAAATAGTATGTAGGCAAACACCAACGAACAATATTTATGTAAACAAACAACTCGTAACATAAACATTTCAATGACAGTTATAAACCAGCTGTTAGTTAAACCAGCATTGAAAATACTTTAAATTGCTAGCGTCGGCTGCTAGACTTTAAAAAAATTAAAACTTAACTTATAAAAAACTGAAACCCTAAACTAAAATTATAGCTTCGACATTCCCTAGTTCTCAAAATTATCTTTCTTTCAACACAAAAATCATGAAAATCCGTCAAGTGGTTGATTCAGAATCGTGAAATAAAAAACCCTGTTTCGTTTTAATATTATAGATTACTCATAAGGTTAACATGGAAAACTCCAGCCAGAGCCACTGGGGCGGAGCCCGAAAGGACTTTTGCGATAAGAGTGTGTCTATATGTTAATTGGGAATGTGAGCTATCATCACACCAAATTTCAGCCCAATCCGACCAGTATTTTTCGCCTTTACTTGTCACAAACATACATACATCCATACTTTCTCATTTATAATATTACTAGCTGTAACCCGCGGGCTTTGCCCCGTTTAACTTCTTAATTTTCAAGATGATCTCGTTCGCATGGCTCAATCACGTCCTGGTTGAAGTTCGTTCGCTACGCTCACTCACCTTTAGGTTGGAGCTCGTTCGCTACGCTCACTCACCTTTAGGTTGGAGCTCGTTCGCTGCGCTCACTTGCCTTCAGGTTAGCTCGTTCGCTACGCTAACTCGCCTCCAGGTTGAAGTTCGTTCGCTACGCTCACTCACCTTTTGGTTGCAAATTAGCTGTTGTCATAAATGTAAAAGAAATAATAGTGCTGCACCCTGTTGGTAATCCTTGTAACTTTAATGCTATTGAACATCATAGAACAGAACCAACTTGTTTAATTGAAACAGCTGTTAAGATTCATTAATTCAATTTCTCATAAGGTTAACATGGGAAACTCCAGAGCCACTGGGGCGGAGCCCGAAAGGATTTTTGAAATAAGAATATGCCTATATGTTAATCGGGAATGTGAGCTATCATCATGCCAAATTTCAGCCCAATCCGACCAGTATTTTTCGCGTTCACTTGTCACAAACATACATCCATACATCCATACATCCATACATCCAAACTTTCTCATTTATAATATTAGTAGGATAGTAGGATTATATCCAGTAACTTTGTGCACAGTTTTTTAACTATATTTTAAATATTTCAAAAAATATTTAACCGACCCGGAACTTTTTGGACACCCTGGCTACATCAAACAGCTTCTGTTTTTTCCAAACAATCAGTAGTTGTATTTTGTGTTCTAGGTTGTTATCTGTCAGAATAGAACACGGAGTGAGAAGATGGTTCAGGGTGTTTTGACACATGAGATGATCCACATGTTTGATTATTGTCGTCACAAACTGGACTTCAGGAATTTAGAGCACCTCGCTTGTACAGAGATCAGAGCAGCCAACCTGACACATTGTGGGTTCATAAGTGCGATGATTCAGGGTGACGCTAGTCCATTCAATATCAGAGCTCAACACCAGGTAGGTTACTAATGCACAACTCAATACAGGGTGATTGATATAAGTGTGCCAGCTATTTTATTCAAAAGTTATAAAAGATATAACAAAATGTTAAATTGTAACTGCCTTAAATTTTTTATTAAAACAATTTTGGCCAAGTTAAAAAAATAATTTTAGCCGCCATTTTTCCAATATGGCCGCCAACTTTATTTTTTCTTATTGAAGACCCTATACTTATGATTGTTTTAGAAAGTAAATGCAATTTAAAAACATTTTACTCTTGGCATTTTTTCACTGAGGCTACTCGTTTAGGAGTTACAGCGTGTTACAACTAAGAAAAAAATGACTTGCGGTGCATCATGTAGCTCCTAAATGAGTATGTTAAGAGCAAAAATGCAAAGAGTCTTAAAAAAGTCGTAAAATTGCATCTAGATTCTAAAAATACAATAACATACAGTTTTCCTATTTTCAAATTTCCCTGCAATTTTGGAAAATGGTGGCCATTTTTGAAACAATAGAATAAGTGCCGAATTTACCACTAGGCCGATTAGGCCGCAAACAAAGGGAATAAAGGGGGGGGGGGCAGAGGATTGACAGAAATATTTTTTCAGTACAAACAAATTTTAATTTTTTGACCATCAGTTTGCCACGACTCGGCCGGAGGGATATGTTCATGATTTTCTGCAGCCGGGGTTGTTGATTATGATGTCTCCGTGATTGTGTCCCGCGGTAGATGTTCATGATTTTGCCGCGGTCACGATATTCGATAATGATATCCCCGGCATTGCGGCCCACGGGAGATGTTCATCATTTTTCTGCAGTTGTGGGTGTTGGTGACGATATTCCCTGAATTTAGGGTAAGTAATCGGGATTTCTCCGCGACCGTGAGTGGCGATGATAATGTCCCGCAATTGTGGCCTGTAGGAGATATCCCGAATTTTGCCGTAGTCTTGAGTGTCAATGATTATGTCCCCGTGATTGCAGTCCAAAGGGATGTTTATGATTTTACGTGGTCACGGGTGGCGATGATGATGTTCCCGTGGGAGATGTTCATGATTTTGCCCCAGTTGCGGGTGTCGGTCGGTGACAATATTCCCTTGATTTAGGGTAAGTGTTCGCGATTTCTCCGCGACCGTGAGTGACGATGATAATATCCCACAATTGTGGTCTGTAGATCCCTGATTTGGCCGTAGTTGAGAGAGTGTCAATGATTATGTCCCCCTGATTGTGGCCCAAAGGGATGTTCAAGATTTTGCCGCAGTCGTGGGTGTAAGTGACGATAATATCTATATGTCTCCATTGTTTAAGGGTAAGTGTTCAAGATTATTCTGCGATCGTGGGTGGCAATATGATGTGATTTTGGCCCGAGGGACATGTTCACGATTTTATCCACGATTGCTGGTGACGATGATGATGATGACTGTGGGAGATTCTAATGATTTCACCGCTATTAGAGGGAATTCTACCACAGGGTTGGGGGCCGCTCAATTAATTTGGCCTAGGGCCGCAAATACCTTAAATCCAGCACTGAATGGAATCAATATTTGTTATCTATATTATGGTTTTATATGGTGTTATGGTATACTGTATGGCAAAAATTCGAAGAGTAAATAAGATTTAAAATTGCATCCACATTCCAAAAATGTCGGCCATTTTCCAAAATGGCAGCAAACTTGAAAAATGGAAAACTGTATTTTGTGATCTCTCTGGAATGTTGATGCATGTTTAAGATTTATTTACTTTTTGCATTTTTGCTCTAAACTTACTCGTTTAGAAGCTACATGATGCAAAATGTACACCGGAGGTTATTTTTTCATAGGCTGTAACTCCTAAACGAGTGGGTTTATGGAAAAAATGTCAGGTATAAGAAAGTTTTTAAATTGCATGTTCTATCCGAAAACATAACAAAATATAGGTGTTTCATAAGAAATTTTCAAAGTTGGCTGCCATATTGGAAAATGGCTGCTGAATTTCAAAAAACTAAATTTTTATTTTTAACTGCCAAAAAAGTTTTCTTTAATTCTTACCGTTTCCGATATCCCAACCTCCCAATCCTCCCTGGGTCCTCCTTGAGTTCACCCTGTATACAGTAGAACCTCAATAACCAGTCTCCCATGGAGATTAAGAAATACAACTTGTTATCAAGGTTGACTTATAAATCAAGGTATTATATTTTCATTCTTTTGCAGGCTACCATTAGCTTTTCTTCGGTAAAAAGTGGAATCTTTGTAGCAGCTATCTTTTCATAGGATACTGTCCTATGTTTAGGAAACGAAGTGCTGATTATACCCAGTCCTATCTCAGATGACATTGTGAGGGGGGGAGTGGGAGCACCATTTTCTTCATAACAACCTGGTATTCAGTGCCTTAAGGTTGCTCATTGACGCTATCAGAGTGCTATAAGCTCATTCTCTCCAACAGCGTTTCATGGACTTGAGAATTTCCTTTTTGAGCTCTCTTCTGGTTTGTGCTAGGTTCTACTTTAGCTGATCTTACTTTAGCCGATCTGGCACCAGGCCCCTTGATCACCTTTTTCTCTCTCATTAAACACTTCTGGGCTTTAAGGCAATTCCTTTCTAGTTCTCCAATTGTGGGAGAAGTGGCTGTGAACCCGGGCCCCCCTCCTCGCAAGATTGTTCACCGGGCCCCGCCCCCCTATCCAAATAATCTTTTAAGTCATTATCACAGATGTATTTACATCTAAGCTGCACTTAGCCTTGGCACGGCAGTGTCGGCAGGGGGTGAGTGGATGTTAGGCAAAGACCTCTCTGCGAACATTCCACTTCTGACTCACAACATACTAAGTTTTATTACTTTTAACTAGGTACTGATGTAGTCATCATTTAATATAATTTTGTATTTAAACTTCAGCAAGGCCGGTTGATGCAGTTGGCTGCTGAAATTTTTTTTCATGGCTTAGTACAGAATTTCTATCAATCGGCCTAGTGTCAGTTTAGCTTTTGTAAAGTACCTGTCCTAACGCTCTTGCTGGTTTAAAATAGATCTTGGCCATGAAATTGTATGGTAATAGTCTGTTGGAGTTAACCAAGCACTCAAGCTGTTTAAGTTGTGTTATTGTGTTATAATCAACAAATCGTGTCATTCCCTTTCAATAGATTTGATTGAATTGAAATCAAATTAAATGTTTATTTGTCACATAGAATTTATATAATTGTGATACATCACCAGGAAACATATGACTCGTCAGTTTTTCATAACAAAATACATTATATTATATATTTTATTTTATTTCATTATAATTAGTAAGCCATTTGTTATAAATTTTGAAAACGGCTGTGTTCATAAAATCGTGCCTGTTGTGCAATCAATATTTCGTTTTAAATATCAATACTACTATGAAGATAAAATCAATGGCTATCCAGTGGTACCACCCACAACATCCCAAGACGAAAATTACCCGAGCAGGGTAATGCCAAACAAGTTGTGTTTTGACAGTTCCCAAGTGTCAGCTGCAAAAGTCGTGCCGCACCAAAAATTCATTTGATTTCCAATCGTCGTGACATTGTTATACACCTGCTACAGGGTTTGTTTATACAGTGTGTAAATTAAGTCTGGCACACATTTTTTATCTTTTTTTAGTAGATAGAAGAAATCAATTTGCGGGACTGATTAGTAACAAATGTTCGGCACTTTTTACAAATTTTGAAAATAAAAATTCCCTTAAGGGTAAGGGGGGGTGGGGGGTAACTAAAAATGTTCAAATGACAACCCCCATCTTGTGACCCCTCATTTTTAAGGTCATTGGAAGACAAATCCAAAGATGTGACTGAAAAAAAACAACCCCCAGGATGCAAAAAAAAAAAATTTTCAGACACATCGTTAAATTTGTCTTCCAAATACCTTTAAAATGAGGGGTCACAAGATGGGGGTTGTCATTTGAAAATGTTTAGTTACCCCCCACCCCCACCTTACCCTTAAGGGAAATTTTTTTTCAAAATGATGAAAAAGTGCCAAACATTTGTTCTTACTCAGTCCCGCAAATTAATTCCTTGTATGTACAAAGAGTAAAAAAGATAAGAAATGTGCGCCATACTTAATTTACCCGTTCAACCCTAAGTACATTTTAAACCGCCATCTTGGATAGGGTGCAAAAAATATTTTTTCAGACACATCTTTGGATTTGTCTTCGAATGACCTTTAAAATGAGGGGTCACAAGATGGGGGTTGTCATTTAAAAATTTTTAGTTACCCCCCACCCCCACCTTACCATTAAGGGGAATTTTTTTTCAAAATGATGAAAAAGTGCCTAACATTTGTTATTTATCAATCCCGCAAATTGATTTCTTCTATCTACTATAGAAAAAAAGATAAAAAATGTGTGCCAGACTTAATTTACACACTGTATAATAAAATGAAAGTTCAGAATGTGATCTTTCGAATGCTATATATATATTGATCACATCAGAGTTGATTATAAGTTGATTATAAAAAAATGTTGCCCATACTACTGCTAGTGGCAGTACAGAACTGTTAGTGGTAGAACAGTAGTATTCTAGGCGTCACGTCAAACGAGCGTATTACGATCGTTGGCCACTGCTAGGGTTAAACATTTCATTATTTCATTTGATTCAGGAGTAATTTTCAGATAGGTGTCACAAATATTTCATTTGCTAGCTTTGAGTTATTTTGTTGACTGTCATTCGATCTAGTTCATCTAAAGCTACGAGACCTTCACAGGTTTTGTTACAAATACATTTCTTTCTACATATGTGAACATCTGACTGGTTAACAAATAACAAGTGGCTAGACAGTTGCAGAACTGGAACCTTGATCAAAGAACTCCTTGCTATTGGGATGGTCATGCAAACTTCCCCGCCATGAACTCGGGGCTGCTGAAGTCCAATGTTGAGAAGGTAGTAGTTGTGTAGGCAGTAAACAGATTGGAGCTATCTGATGAACTTGGGTATAGAAGGGTGTGTGTGACACTGGAGCAGGATGTAGAAGTGGCATATATGAAGTATTCCATACTTGCCCCTACTTTGTCATCACCTCACTATATAGCCAATGTCCTGGAACTACTTTTTGGGGATTGACAGTTACTTCAGTATTAACTGAGGCCCTGACGCTGTTTGAGGGCAGTTAGATGATTTATTTTATGAACCTGCCATTTCTGTGGAGTTCTGAGTATCCAAGATAGAAGGTGTTGTACAGTTATTTTTTAATTGATTTGTTCTTGTTCTTGAGTCCAGATTAATCACTCTGTCGGATACTATAATGTCCCTTGAGGCAGTCTGCTACCTTTTCCCCTGATTTATTTAGGTGCAAGCCGTGAGAGGTATGGTGTCGGCGACTTAGGAAAAGATGCAAGTCCAGTATCTTCATGTGTTGGTATTTCATAGAGAGACCTCTTAAAGATTGGTTTATGTCGTCAATGATCATATTTTCTTCAGTTTGATTTTTTTAGGTCATATCTTTGAGGTAAGGTCGCAATGATGAGGTTTGTATGACGATGCTTCGTGATATGATTTTCTAAATTTATTATAAATTTGGTGACATTTGTATTTCTTGATATATTATCAGTACCTCAAATCCAAATAAGGTATTCGCCTTTTGTGTAAGCCTTGTATGTAGAGTTTGCTGTGGGGTATAAAATTTAGTTTGTGAATAGCTACCTCAATTTGATTTTAAAGTGGTCAATCGTTATACAACAATTGAGTAAAATTGTGAATCTTCTGATTAAATGACAAGTATTACAAAGAACTTGTTATCATTTCAGGAGTGTGTTAAGTCCAAAGCTATGTGGTCTGTGATGGTGGCTCGAAATGTTGGGATGGATGAAGCCAAAAAAGTTGTTGATAAAGTCTTCCCCCACTGCTATAATGACTTGGAACCCATCGGCAGACGATGCAAGACACGGAGCGCTGACATGAGTTATGCCTACAGTGATGGTTATTTCTATGGCTATGTAGATATTGATAGCTAATTTCTTATTCATATTTATTAGATTGTCTAGAATATATGCTGTTAAATGTTATTGATCGATTATTTTTTTACCTAATATAGTGAATTTCTCATATAGGGAATAAGCTATTACTGTAGTCCCATGGTAAGACCTGGCTGGACCTGGGACCGATTTACTTTTTCAATTTGATGTCCCCAGAGGCCAAATACAAAGTCTGTTAAGATTAATATATATTCAGTTTTGAAGTTTATTTTGTGTTTTTCACAAAGGCAAAACTAGGCTGCTCATTGAGTTAATCAGGTAATCCGAGTTATACTGGGTGTGGGTTTTAGTTTCCCAAGAGGGTTCCGCCCACCTGCTGGTTACCACGTAACCATGGTCCTACAAAAAAGAACCTCGTGGCATTAATAAAGTGTTTATCGAGTTGAAATAAACTGTAAAATATTCAAAGATCCAAACTATGCCCTGGATGAACTGAAATTTTGTATTGTTTCTTTAAGTATTTACAAAATATTTTGAAAACCAGGAAATTAGTCTTTTTCACATGTGATTTTAGCTTCTAAATAATAGTTAAACACTAATTTATCCCCATCCACTGCTCTGATATGTTATGAGCACAAAAAGCACTCAATAGTTGGAAACAAATTTTTTTTATAGTTTTGAGAGCTTGTACTGTAAAGGCATGTTTAGCCGCCATCTTGAATTGACCGGGTAGAACCCTCTTAAAATTGATTTCAATACTTCTAGTATGTGTTGATTTGATGTGTATTTGGTTTGTTATTATACTCCATTCACAAAATTTAGGCGGTTTGAGAGGAAACTCCCCCACTACTTTTTTTTCTTAATATATATGGCACAGTTGATGATGTTTTGGCAAACCTCAACTGTTGAGCTATTATTTTAAAGACAGGTTTAAGTGAAGACCGCCTATATTTTGTTAACAGAGTATAGTTTCCAGCTGTGTTATCAACACATTTTTTTAGATTTTTTTAAATGGAATCATTCAAAATTTTCTAGGAGTATTCAACATAATATTGAGAGATCGCGATTTAACTTTGATCAATGACTATAATAGCTTACCTCTTCTTCAGACCAAGTACTAATATTGCACCCAAACTATTGTAATCAAAACAATCAAATTTAAAGTATCCAGGAGAATAAATAATTAACAAAACATTTTTTATAAACAATTTTATTTAAGTCTAATATTTCTTTAAGATAACTAATTTAATTCTGTATAAAATATTCAGCTAAATAGGAAATGCAGTGACTGAATATAAATTACAAAATTTGACCAAAGAATGATATGGGTTTACAAAATCAGTTGCCTTATTTATGTTGGGATGAAAGTGAAATAGAGTGAAATATTTGATGTGAGATGAGAGTGTTAAAGTGGTAGAATACATGTAGACTGTACATTATACCTCAAGTATATTTTGAAAACTAAAATTACCTTGAGGTGTATACAGTTTTGTCATTGATTATATATTCTTTATATTTCAATTGTGTTTTTATTTGATAGTTTTAGTGAGGAAAAATGTATACTTTACAAAGTAGTAATGTATGCAATTATATTTTTTTAAATGACACACACAAAATGTAATATACAAAAACAATATACATTCAACAATAATGTAAATCAATTGATCTATGAAACCAACCAATAATCACAAAAGTAACATAGTGTATTATTAGATAACTTCATTTTATGTTTATGTTCCCTCTGATAGTTTTCCTGTTCTACGAAGTCTAAAAATATTTGATCAACATAACCTCACAGGTACTATTGTTTCACAAAATTTGGCTTTTCATAGATTTTCTGGAGTACTTCTGATAGTTAAGATTATTACTTTATAATTACGTTAGAAATTCAGAACGCAGAACATAAATAATAATCATAATTAAAAACCGGAAACATAATTACATTTTTGTCTTAAAATCTATCACACATCTAATTTGGATGGCCTTGATGGAAAAATAGCGGTTCAGTTTATTACACAATTGCCAGAAGTTAAAATTATTGGAGCAAGAATTACCAACAATGGATGACTAAAATCAGTAAAGATTGGGTGTTAGGCCTGGCGCACACGGTCGATTTTTCGATCGGCCTATTAAAAAATCGGCCAAAAATAAATCGCCCTTGATTTGTGTCTAGGCGCACACGTGGCGATTTTTTAGTCGAGAAATGGATTTTATTTAGTGTGTTTAAGCTATCCTAAAATGGACTTTGTTGAATTAACCTGTGTTTGTGCTCTTCTAATTAGATCAAAGAAAAAAAAGAAGAAAACTTTAATATTGGGTCCATCCTATAGTAAGTCAGGGACTTTTAAATCGACAGTTTTATAAACTATACACTTTACGTGATGACAGTAAAAAGTCCTTTAATTACTATAGAATGTCTGTTGAAAGTTTCAGTTTTTATTATAACAGCTGTGGCCTTTTTTTAGCAAAGAAAACAACACAACTCACACTGAAGTTCACTGACTCCTGTGGAGAACAACAAGCGACTGGCCGATTTTTAGTCGACCGTGTGCGCGGACTGATAACAATCTGTACGTTACAGATTTTCGGGTGACAATCGCCTCGCCTACGAATCTGTGGCAAAACCCAGATTTTAAAATCGGCGCAATTCTCGATCGCCTGAGCGCGCTTCCATTCAAATACATGATGCACAGATTGGCCGATGAAATAGTCGCCTCAAAATAATCGCTCGTGTGCGCCTAGCCTTATTAGTAAAAATAGTTGTGGTTTTGGTTTGACAATTTAACAAGACATTTTAAGAACAATGTATTCACACAAAAACATGTCAAGTAACATCGTAAAACAACAAATATTATAGACCTCTAAAAAGTATAGTAGCCTACATACAGTACTCACTTAGACTAGTATCCTTAATAACAACCTTAAAATTCAACAAGCCTAGAAACATTTACCAAAACATATTGATTAATGTCTATGCTATAAAATTGGTATTTATAAATAAACATATTATTTACTAATTAACTAGGTTTGCCTACAGGAAAACCCCTCATTATCATCCACAAGTGTTCCAGTCCTTGCTTCTTTGAATAAAAATGTTTCTGTAGTTCATCACAGAAGGTTGACTCCAGCACTGTAGGGTTAAGAGTTTTCCTTTTTAATTATTGTAAATTAACATATGTCAGCCTTTCAACTACATTGTTCAATTATAAACCAATACAAAACAACTAGAAATGGGAAGTTCGGATCACCTCACTGATCTGGATCAATCGGTCTTGTTCACTGTTAAGACCCGTTCAAACCCGTTCGATTGACCCGGTCCGGTAAACCAAAGGCAGTTGTTTCATTTTGTTCGTTATTTGAAAGTAAACCTACCACGACGTTGAGGTTAGTTCGAATGTGGGATCATGGATCTTTGGATCGTTCAAACTGATTCCGATATTGAGCTATAAACAGTTATGAAATTGATAGCTAAATACATTATCCGAAATAATACAATGTGTAGTGTTACTTTATACTTAATTCCCTTTTTCAGCACTGAAAATAAATATACAACTCTATCTTTTACTTTTAATTATATAATTTAATTTGTACATAACCTTACTTTTACAAACCTTGACATGACCATACTGGTTAAATCGATTATCGATGACGTATGGAATATTATCAATATATAAGTGGGCTGTTGTAATTGACTTAATTTGTTTACATATAACCACCACCTTTTTATGATAGTATAGATAGGCCTAGTAAAAATGAAATTGTGGAGACTATATGACTTTAATGTGTATGCCCAGTTTCATTCGCTTCCGTTTTGTTGTGGACCGACTACTGAGGTTTAAATTTAATTACGACATGAATACTCAACTATCGGTCAGTCAGTTCTTCACTCCAGTCAACTTCCAGTTCCCAGTCACCAGACCATACCACTGGAACCAACAGTGGGGGGGGGGGCCGAAGGGGGCGACCGCCCCCCCTCGGGCATACATATACATATGTTTTTACTGCATTGCATAGAATAATTTGTCACACAAACTTTGGACAAAGAAATGGTATAAAATAGGGATGGTCAAGTCTCGAAATTTCGGGAAATTTTAAATCTCGTTACACGAGACGAGATTTCTTTTTGGCCGAGATTTTTATCGAGACGAGAATAAAAAAAAAAAAAAAAAATTAAAAACGCCTGCAGAAAGTCAATGCAATACCCGCAATACAGGAGCGTGTTGTAGTTGCGTTTCCTTTGCGAAGGCGTTCTTATTTAATTAATTCTTTAAATGTAAATATTACTTTAATTATTTTAATAATATTACTTTAATAACATTTGAGAAGTTTTGTTAAGTGTAAGCAGTGTAAGGAATGTTTTATTACTATAAAAAGTCAAAACAAGTACCTAACTATTTTATAAAAATTAATATTGCTTTTATTTTATGATTTATATTATTTTAGGATAAGTTGAACTCTATCCTAACTGATATCACAATGTTTCCTAATCGTAGGCATTTTTAATAAGTTAGGCGTGATTAATACAAAAACGTTATGCTGATGTTAAAAGATTGTAAATATTCATTCCTATTATCATTGTTTTTGTATTTAAACAGTCATCTAACAATGTTACAAAATCAGGTAAAAATTTTGAACGTGCATTTCCCGTTGTGTATGAGAAGGGAAATCCCGTCTCGATCTCGTCTCGAAATTTTATGAGAAATAAAAAATCTCGTCTCGTCTCGTCTCGAACTAAAAATCCAATCTCGTCCATCCCTAGTATAAAACTGTAATTTTGGAGACTTGGTTTACACACATTTTTCCCAAACCACCCAGATCCCCTGTTTTGCCCCCCTCCCTTGTGACTATTCTAAATCCGCCACTGGGAACCAGTCAGTAAGTCACCAATCACCTCTAACCTCAGTCTTTTTGGTCGGTCTTGGAACGAAAGAAAAAGTGAACGAAACGGAGTACGCAAACCTTTTCGGATGGTGTGATCCGGGTCACTCGTTCACTTGGATGACCTGGTCGAACCGAACGGGTCCTGACCGAACAACCCACCTCTATAAACAAGTTCAATAATTTACTGTCATTAAGTGATGGAGCCAGGCTTATTTTTATCCTTTTATTAGATAGTTAAGTAAAAAATCAAACTACGCTGTAGTTTTTTGACAAATTATACAAATTTTGTATGGCAGTTCTGTAGTTTCAGAATCTAAATACAATAGGCACATTGAAACTGTGTCTAATGGCATCTGAAAGTAAAAGTGGACATTATTTTATGTATAGGGTGTGCAAATGGTATTCTTTTTTTCTCACTCAAAGAGTCTAGCTGGACTTGTCTTCTAAGCTTTTAAGATTTATAGCTTGTACCTATTCAAAGTTTAACAGTTTTGAACACTTTCAATCTTTTTTCCAATGTTGTGCTCAAAATTTTTTAGTTGATACCGTATAATACCATAAATGGTAAATAAGAAACATTTAATCCATCATGCAGTTCATGTTTAATGTACTGTGACTTAATTTATTATAAATATATCGCTTCTGTAATTTAGACTATTATTTTTCAAAGATTTGGTGTTTGGTGCAATGGTAATGTTGTAAAAATATCAAAATATCATTCAAGCAGAATTCTGTCTCAAACTATGTGTAGCTTTGATTTTGAAAATTCATAATTTCAAACTATATGTAAAATTTTTTTTTTCTTCAGGAACCAATTTAAATGCACCGCTTGAATATGGATTTTTCCCAAAGTGAATTAATAACTGCAATATTTGAACAAGCATCCCGATGAATGGATGTTTGCACACCCCTACTTTATTTCAAACCAGTTTATCATTTAACTACACTCCATTCACAAAATGTAAGTGTTTTAAGGGGGAGCGATTTCATCCCCTCCTCCTCACCCTAACTTTGAAACAACAGCCGACAGCTGATATATACATTAAGCTTAAAAAAAGGTGGTGGAAACCCAGGATACCTTCTCCTCAAACTGCTTAAATGTTGTGAACGGACTTTAAAGAATCTTTTGTGGCACAAGTAACAACTAGCCCTATAATACATATTAATCAAGTAAATACATGACTTAATCTTAATGTGTTGAAATTATACAATAATATAAATTTGATACATTTAAAATTTTAAACATTAGTAACAATAATAAATAACTACCAGTATCAACAACATTGCTTCTTAACTTAACTGCAAAATAAAATTGTTGATCTTATTACTTGCTATATCACAAGTAAAGTTTTGCAAAGTTTACAATGTAGGCCCTAATATTATTATGCCCATAATAAATCAAAATGTCAAAAAAATTCGAACCTTTTTGTACTTGAGCAGGTTTGGCACTTTAAATGTGAACATTATATAATGTTTCCGTCATACAGTAGCTATAAGTTAAATATATAAAAATCTAAAACACCAAAAGGCACTTAACATTTTAATGGTAAGCAGTGGAAGTGATATGTTAAGTATTTAACTATAATTTATATATACACTTTATTTACAAATATTCTTTATACTTTTGATTTATATAAAACATACCTATAAGTGATTTGTAATTTTGTTCAAATTATTTGAATATATTGATGATTTTAACTTAATCTGATTCTACGTGTATCTTCAGTTGATATTGGGACACATAAATAATTATCAAAGGTAAACATAATGTTCTAACTTAGAGAGTTATCTATGATTACACTTTATTATTTGATGACAATGAAGCGTAGACTTAGTTATAATAAAACCAAAGAATTGTCATAAAACAATTTTACTTATTAATTATTTTTTTGTTAAGTCCGTTTCCAATTTATATTTTGATTTGGCTATTTGATTTGATAAAGCATTTGACATATATTAGTTGAAGTTTGTTTTATGTTTATATTTTGATATGGATATGTTATTTGATAATACACAGGTTTATATTAATTTGATAACCAAGCTACATATTTTTTTATTCGTTTTTAGAGTTTTGTAGAAGTAACCTAAATTTGTTGTATACAATTCATTTAATCAACTCATAGCTGGTGGTTTGGGAAACCCATACAAGTGTATTTAGTTTTATCTATATTTTTTATTTTTGTCTTTTGCCCTTTGTTGGTCATAGGTTTATTATTAGAACTTTTAGATGCATGTTTTTATTAATTCCAGAAATTATTGTCAAGGAAATATTTTGAATTCCTAGGTCAATATTCTCCTAACCCGTTTTTTAAATAGATTAATACTCATACACTATCAATATCTTTGACAATTATAACCAACATCCTATTTCCATGTTAAGCTTTAGAAAGTTTTTAATAAAAATTGACACTATTGAAACAAGCCACAGACAGAGTGTTGTGCACTCAATCAAATTGAATGTATTGATTCTATCAAATAGACTATCTTTTTATTCAAGCAAAATTTAAATAAAAACCTATTATAAACTATGAAATCTTTAATGCCACATCACCTATAGTGTCAAACACTAAGGGAGGGATCAAATGTTGACAGTATCACACAGTTGCAAGAGATTCATCCACTATTTTTTTTAAATGGCTTCACCATCCTCATATATTGATTTTGATAACAATACTGAGACTGAGACATAACTTAGACATGCAAACACATTGAATTTACACTAATTTTAAGACCTTTCAGAACACAAATTTCAGTTTAACTGCATTGTTTCTCGTTTCTGTTCCAATAACAGCATTTATGTAAAACAACAAAATGTCCATATTTTTTAAATATTTTTACAGCGTAAGTTTATGAAAAATATACACATGAATGCTTATGGCCGGTAGCACAGAGAATTCCATTGATTGAATCAAAATTGTTTAGGGTTGGAGTACACCAATCACATATTGGGTTTTAGATCAACCACTCCATTACCACAGTATCAGTCATCCTTAATTCTTTTTTCTGTCATCATTCACTCAAATACAACAAAGATTAGGTCAAGGGGGCAACTGGAAATAGTAAAGTTACTGAATACAATTAATTGAGCTTCGGTGTAAACTTTAAGCTGCAATAAAAAAGTCTGTACCCTACTTGAATAATAATTCTTATGCAGACATATTAAAGTAAAATGCAAGCACTTGTTGATAGAAATCGCCTGGTTTAAGATGGTAAAGCACTGAGGTGGCAGACAGACAGGCCGATATATACTAAAATTGATTCTCTTGACAGTTTGAATCAGCAAAAGTCCTCCGACTAATCTAAGCTCATACTTGTTTATCAAAAAGTGTATGATGTCTCGCTAGTATATCCTAAAGAATTCTTGTCTGGGCTTAAACAAATAAGCAAATCTAGTGTACCTTTTTACAACCATAAACTGTGTAGTTTTCATTTAAAAGCTTAGTGCTAGAACGATTGTCTCGCATTTTTCTGTTGTTTGGTGCTGTTGTTTGGAGGACTGACGTCACGTGACGTGCCGTTGCTTGGCCTCGTTCAGGTACGTGACCCAGTAGACAACAGTGAACACCAGGAAGCTGAGAGGGAACAATGCGAGAGATACTTGGTCAATTGTACCTCGCTGTGATCCACAGTACAGGATCAGGTATTCAGTGACAGCTCGCAGTTTGGGCTTCTGTTCAGACTCCGACTGGCCAGCCTCCGTGTTGTTCTCCTGCAAATGCCTCAGTTTCAAGTGCTTTATATGTGTAGTACTAGTACTTTATTATGGTATTTTTAAATATCAATTGATTTGTTACTTGTATGGATGTTCAAAATGTAAACACTATAAATTATTTATACTTTCACTAATTACCCCTTGATAACATGTTGTGAATTTAGAAAGTTAATGTTGTGGTTTGTCTCAAGAGTTTCCAGCCTATACATATATACAGTACTTAAAATTTGAATGTCCATATTTGATTTGTAATTCCCACATTTTGCAATTGGAAGATTAAGTTTTCATGAGGCAGTTCTTATAAGATTCTGATTGTAATTATATTAGAAGAATCCCATAAATACAAATAATAGTTTAAAACTTATTGATTCCCATTTATTTTTGACACTAGGATAGACACATGCTGTTTAAGTCATCAACAATAGTCCAATGAGGTTTGGTTGAGTTGTTGTCAGTGTTAGTTGGGTATATCCGTGCCGGTATATCCTAAAATTGAGGTAGAGAGTTTTCCAGTTAATGAACTTTTTATAATAACATCATGACGATTTTCCTTTTTTAATTCCTCCCCTTAAACATAATATCTGGAGAAAGTATGGTTTTCATCATAATCTTTGAGTTTGCGTTTTGGGTCTCTTGAAGTGATGTCAACAACCAAATGGTAGTTTTAAGTCTTTGATGTGAGTCTGTGTGTGTACCTACAAAGTTTATCTACATACCACACCTGGTGTCAGATTTTTATGATATATTGTGTGTAAATAACATCCATGGCATCTTCAGGCGTTAAAAAAAATGTTTATTTTGATAAATTTTTTTTAATTACAGAAAAAACGAATTTTTACAAAAGCAGCTTAAAAGATTTTTATTAAATCATTAACTTAGCATGCTATAGTCCTTTTGACTATACAAAATGTCAAAATAGTATAAAATCCTCATGAAGTAACAATTACATTTAGAAATTATTGCAACTTTGTGATTTGCCCCAAAAAATATCATAGTCATTCCCTCCACATATTGGGTTGTTGACAAGGTAATGGGAGAAAATATATGCCAGATTTCTAATACCGTTTATTTGCATTACTTCAATAGTTAATTTTAACTATCTTTAAATTTTTAAGAGGCCATAAAACGTTGCAAACTTAGAAAATCAGCACAATTAAGCATGCAGAAATTCAAGATATGTTATTAGAATTGAACTACCAAGTCTTTCTCGAACAGGGATAATGAATTTGTACATTTTTGTTTTAGATGCAAATAGAAAAAAAACTCAGAAATATAACTTGTCTTAAGTTATCTGAAACACTGGTTCGATAAACAAATATTTATCAAAGAAAAATTGGTCCAGTTTCATAAACTTGTCAAAAAGTCAACAGAGTTTTTTTTTTGTGCAAATGATTGTTTAATTTCCAAATAACGCATTAAAATTAACCCTTAACCGCCCGTGCGGGGTATGACATACCCCCACGTATGGTAATTTTGTCATAACTTTACAAGTCTGGTGGTAATCCTGTGAGCGTAACAGTACCTAGCTGCCTAAAACAGCATATGCTATCATCTGGCAGCAGAGTTGTTTGTCTTGACCAGTCATTGACATGTTATCACCCCCCTTGGTCTGGCATAGAACAGAAAACGTACTACTATAAACCAGAATGCTAACCGCATGGTAAAAAGTGTTAAGTACTCGGAGAGAGCTTTGCCTGTCAATTCGTAGACAGCTCCACCAGCATAGCAACGCTGGTGGCGCTGCCTACGAATTGACAGGCAAAGCTCTCTCCGAGTACTTAACACTTTTTACCATGCGGTTAGCATTCTGGGTTATAGTAGTATGTCTTCTGTGGGCATACCCCCATGCGCTTGCTTGTGTTACCAGTACTGTGTAAATTGGGGGGTCTGGTGTGCTCTCGTGCGCTTAGTTGTGTCTCAGTTTTATTATCATAATAAGTATTAATAATTTTACAACTTTATTATTTTAAATGTTGATAGTATTGACAGTTTGCCAAAAAACTTAGTATCTGTTAAACAATTGGATGGAAATGTCCAACCATAGAGTCCACTGATCTAGCCTCCCAGTAAAAAGGCGCGGTGCACCGTCTGTCTCGGAAAAAATACGCCAAGACCAAATTTAAGTGTAAAACCTTAAGAAAAACTAATGTGCCAGAAACAAACATAAAATATTTGTGATGTGTGTTTAAAAGGACTTCTAAACCAACCACTGGTTGAGGATTTTTAAAGAAAAACACACATTACCGAAGAAAGTGTTAGATAAATTTTATATTTTGTTTAGTATTTTCTACAAACCAGGAAATGTATTTAATTCATTATACTGTTCATATTTACTGCTTCCATGGTTTTTTACAAGTATTATACTTTTGTAAAATAAAAAATAATATTTGTTTGCAATAAAAACATGTTTAACTACGATTTTCCCCTCTTCAACAACATTATTACATTTCATCATGTAAAATTTAAGGGTTAAACTATTATTTTCAAAATAGTTAAAGGATATGGTAGGAACATAAAATTTACGTAACAATAGGAGAAAATTAATATACTTAGATATTATGTCTAAAGTTTTAATAGCTAAATATCAAAAACTTTTTTTATAAATCCATTTTTATTCGGGGGTCCACTAGACCCTCAAACGCACGCGCTTCAGCATAAATAAAGAGCGTGCACGCTAAGGGTTAAATTATCAAATTAGATGTAAAAGACCACAGAACAAAAGAATACACAAATGAAGGCACATAGCAAATGAAGCAAGTCTGGCGTTGCCTAAAAAGGAACACGGATCAGATTAATTGTGGTTTCCATGAAACACTCCCATTCTACGTATAAGGATAAAATTGTAGATTATTATATTAATTTTTACCAAAGCTTTTTATTTTTCTATTATTTATCTGTATATGGAAAGTAAATTAAGAAACGTCTTATAACACTTAATACATATATTTACGCTTATACTGTTACTCACAAGACGGTAAATATACAAAAAAGATGGTAAGTGGTGATGGATTTCGATTGGACACTCCAATCATCATCAGACCCAATAGGCGAATGACACATGTATATAGCAGTAACAAATACCTCTGTTGGCAGGACCTTTTAACTGTATGTACAAAGAGTAATTACAAATAACACTTTCATAAATTGTACTCTTTCTTAGCAAATAAATATACTATTACTGGTATATATTTCCTTTTTAGGACAAAATATAGGGAAGAACCTTTTCATAGCCTAAGCCTCCTCTTTGGTGTATGGCAACGTCGCACCTCATCGGCATGTCTATTGCCATAGTAAAAGCAGGAATAACAAACTTGTAAATGTAAACATTGCGCATACGCTCCATTATAAATTAGTGAACAGCTGTTTCAGTAGACCGGGTCTGCAGCGGTGCCACTTTCGGCTCTCTTTTTAATTGTTTTATTGAGAGGTGTAAAACGCAGTTCCACACGTCCTCGGTCCATGAGTGGAGTGCGGGCCTTACACATCCATCCGACCTCAAGCATACCCACTAAAAGTCTCGGCGCGGCCTTGTATTTAAGGAGGCTATGACTATTTTCATACTGACCAATGTAAACACAATTGGTTTACACCTGCTTACTTTTAAAAACCACAAAATACCTGTACAATCTTTAAAAAGTAAAGGCTTCTAAAAATATAAATTAATTGTTTATATAAAGTTCTATACATACAAAACAAACAAAAAATGTTTTTGCATACGGATTACAGTGCAATTAAGTGATATACACGTCACAAAAGTAGATCCTATTTTTATTTATTTACTTTAAGTTTTTAAGAACATTTTACCTAACCCGCCATGTTAAACTTCCCTATCCTAAGCGTGATGTATACAACTTCCTTACATCTCGAGTGATGTAAAGTATCAAAAACTCACTCGGTGATGTAAAGAAACCTATTTAAATTACATCGAGTGCTTAACTTAAAAATATAACTCTATGGAGCCAATGACGTTCAACGCTAGAAATCAGCTGTGCGCTTGAATGTTATTGTTATGCTTTAAAGTATTTTCCTACCTAACCTAGCTTTTGTTAGTAAAAGAACGTTACTGATAGAAGATGATTTAAATGGATAATGAAAAATATTGTACGTAAACCCATGTATATTGTCGGGTCAGGTAAAATCTTGTACGTTACACGTTACGCAAGAGCGTGTTTACATCACTTGGGTGAATTATGCAACTCGCTTCCGCTCGTTGCACAACATTCACCTGCGTGAAGTAAAAACGCTCTTACTACACTTGTAATGTAAATAGCTATTAACTGTACAACCCAACAGAATCCATCCCACTTCAACAGTCTAAGAGTGTACTAACATACATTTCAACTTACTGTGCACTGTTATCTAGGTTATTGTTCTTTAACTTACCTCATGAAGTTGTTTTCTCGAAACAGATGCTTGGAATGAAAAATAAAAAAACCATTGCATGTATTAAATAAATTCTGCAATAATTTGTGACGATAAAAAAGTGATAAAAATAAGAAAAAAAGTTAAAAGCAAGACGGTGAAAAGGATGACAGTAATGATTGTAACATGAAAAACTTGAGTTGAAAAGATATTAGAATTCTCAATATGAAATATTACCTGAACAGATTTTTGTTGAATCCCTTCAATGAAACCTTAAATTTATTTTCACAACATTTATTTGTGCATAAAAACTTTACCAGGATGATGCCCATCTCACCTGATGATTAGATGTCCAAAACCTATTCATATTTATATCCTAGATTAATTTTATATGCCAATTTGACACTTCTACCTGCAATGGATTTTTTTAATATGTATAGTTATTGTCGTTAATTGGCTTTTATATGTTTGTCTAAAAATCTAACAAACATCAGTACCAATAAATTTAAATGGACAGTTTGGGTACAAATTATCATTCTGCATTGATTAAATTATTTTGTAATATGGTTAAGTATACACGGTGTCTCACGAGAGGTGTCTCAAATTGATTACCGAAAAACGGCTTAACGTAAAAGGATGAAATAAAATTATTTCCCGCTAAATCGACCCCAAGGAATAACGTAAAAATATTTTTAACTTTTTCCCAATACAGGGTGTGCCAAAAACTGAGGGTCACTAGTTCGAATCTTGGAATTTTCAAATGTAAACATATGTCATGTTATACATCATTTTAAAGGTATTTAATAGACAAACATTTTGGTGAAAACAGAAATTAGTTATCTTTTTCCGTTTCAAAATGGCGGCAGATGTTTTGGAAAAAATCTATATTTTTTTAATACTCTGTGTTTCCTATACCAATGCACTTATCCCTTCTCCGGTTGAATTTTCTTACTCGTTATGAAATTATCTTTCCTTTGATATGCTACAAGTAATGGTTTTTTGAAATTATAAAAATTCAAAAAAAATTTATTTTTAAAAATTTGCAAATGCTCATTTTTCAAAAATTTCAAATAGCAACATATGTCAAGTGGCACATCATTTTATAGGTTTTTAAATTCCTAACAACTTTGTAATTTACACTAACTTCGTATCTCTTTTAGTTTTTGCGTAAATGACAAAAAACCTAATTTTCCTATATCAAATGCATGTAATTTGGGTTCGACGTGGTTTCACTTCATCAAATTGGGCCTTTAGTGTTAAACCCAAATAACATGCATTTGATATAGGAAAATTAGGTTTTTTGTCATTTACGCAAAAACTAAAAGAGATACGAAGTTAGTGTAAAATACAAAGTTGTTAGGAATTTAAAAACCTATAAAATGATGTGCCACTTGACATATATTGCTATTTGAAATTTTTGAAAAATGAGCATTTGCAAATTTTTAAAAATAAATTTTTTTTGAATTTTTATAATTTCAAAAAACCGTTACTTGTAGCATATCAAAGGAAAGCTAATTTCATAACGAGTAAGAAAATTCAACCGGAGAAGGGATAAATGCATTGGTATAGGAAACACAGAGTATTAAAAAAATATAGATTTTTTCCAAAAAATCTGCCACCATTTTGAAACGAAAAAAGATAACTAATTTCTGTTTTCACCAAAATGTTTATCTATTAAATACCTTTAAAATGATGTATAACATGACATATGTTTACATTTGAAAATTCCGAGATTCGAACTAGTGACCCTCAGTTTTTGGCACACCCTGTATTGGGAAAAAGTTAAAAATATTTTTACGTTATTCCTTGGGGTCGATTTAGCGGGAAATAATTTTATTTCATCCTTTTACGTTAAGCCGTTTTTCCGCAATCAATTTGAGACACCTCTCGTGAGACATCCTGTATACATAATATGTTTAAAAGACATAGTAAATTAAGCCTGTTTCATAATCTGATATTCAGATATCTGATATCTGATATCTGATATCCAGCAACCACTTGAAAACTTTATCTAATGAGATATAAGTGATATTTGTATTCCGTCCTATTTAAAAATTATAAACTTGATGATATTTTAATTTTTAACACGTAAACCAAACACCTAAAACTATAAAATGAATAGATGTTTTTGCAATTCATTCAATATCAATAGCTTTTGCTTTTGAGAATATCTTGCTTCAAATATTACTTACATAATTGTAAGCTTATGTTAAACAAAACGTTGACATTGTTCTAGCTCTAGCTGTCTATTACAAATGTATCCATATATAATATTCAATAATGATAATGACTGAGTAGTGTGAAATTTTGTAAAAAATATAAATTTGTATATTTTTTAACATTATCAGTTTTGAAAACAACCGGTGAAAAATGTTATGTGCTTATTCGAACTAACCAAGTTACTACTAACCAGTTGATACTGCTGCTCTTGAAAAACATAAACTACCTATTCTAACGTTTGTTACAAAACATATTCTAACAGTATAGAGACTCAATGTTAAGTTGTAGCCCACAGCTTAAAAACTTATAAAACTTTTTCCATATAGATTTTCGCGATTCTAACAATAAAATATGTGTCAGAATTTAAATTTTAAGTACGGTAATGTTCAAGTTCAATTTAAACCTGTCTTTCAACTGATAGTCCAAGTTTATTAAAAGTGAATTACTAACTATGACAAACAATCCAAATATTCAAATAAATAATACAGTTTGCATAATTATTGTATATTTTAAATTGAGGACATTTTACGCTACAAGGTCCTAATGCTCTACTTTACTTATACTAAAGAATTCAAATAATATATTATTTCCACTTATTTAGGAAATGTTCTATGTTCTAACTATGACAGCTATTTACACCTACTTGCTACTTCAAATTACCATCCAAGAACATTTTATTGAACTTAAATTATACTCACCCAAAATTACTTAAAATGTAGCAAGAGAGTCCTCTTGAAGTTGTTAAAAAATAACAAATATTTTTTTAAAGTGACAGAAAAAGGGAAAACATCACCAAAAATACTGTTTTTTATGTTAGTGACAGTCTTATAGAATCTATGTTATCTGAATAATTGTAATTTTTTTTCAAATATCAAAAGAGAAAAAGATAACATTTATGTTTTATTTGTTGGTTCATTTACATTAGGTCAATGGATGCTCATTTAATGCACAAAGACAGTTTTGTACAAAGAAGAAACCAAACATTAATACTTCAAAAAGTAAAGGGACTTTTAACTATTCTCTCAGATATACTGTAATGATTGCCATCAATACATTATAAAACCTGTATACAGGAAGTGTTTTGAGTGAAATAATTTAAAATGATTCATGGTCAAAGAAACAAATGCTTCTTCTACCGATAAGCTATATCTCTCTAAAAAATTTCCTAGTAGGTAACAACTTAATGTATCAATTAAACAGGGAATTATTTGACTTTTATTTTATGTACTGTATTTGCCTGTACATAAATATGTTGTGGGTTGGGCAACATATTTATGCATTTCATGCATAATTGTATTTCATGATGTTTATGCAGGGCAAACGTTTTGGGCTATAATAGGCATGTATGTATATCAACTTTGTTAGACCCTCAACCCCAAATACTCAACCAAAAAATAATTATTTATCCAACTGACAAATACTGTTGAAACGTTAAAGACTGGCACTATCACCAAAAGTGTAAGGAAAGCTATGCCACACAGAAAAGAGGATAGAAAGAGAAGGAGTACGAAACGAGGAAGGACAAAAGCTGTTTACCCTTGCCTCGTCTCCGTTGGAGTTTCGAGAGTTTCCTGGATTTCCTCTACGGCCGCTGAGGATTTCTAAGCGTGCATGATGGGGATGTACCTTACTGCCGCCGAAGAGCCTTAACCTAGAGGCCTTATCAGGCGGAGGCATCGCATGATTGGACGATTGTAGCTGTAGCTCCAGATCCCTCTTCTTGTGTCGCCAGTGTTTGTCATAGCGGATGCCAAACAGGACGATGAAATACTCAATAAGTGCAAAAAACACAAAGAGAGTGCAGGAGATGAGCCAGACTTCGATGCACTTCAGTTCAAGTGCGCTGGGGGAATTGTTCCTGAAACATAAGACATTTAGCTAAGAATTAAAATGAAAGCCAATTTCTTTTGAAAATTGACTATATAGCTTTCTTGAGAAAAAGATAATAAAAATTAATATTGGCAAAATCAACTGTACGGTTTATATTTTACATTATGTTTTTTTTTTATTTAATAATGGGATTGTGGGATTTTCAGGGGGGGTCTTAGGAAACTTTGTTTAGAGGTTTAAGTTCTATATCTCTCTATGAACGCTCAGGAGCTGACCGATCCTAAAATATCAACGTTTATTGTAGAAACAATTTTCTATAACAAGGCTAAGTTGGGAAAAAAAATGCGGGCCTATTTTAAAAATTAAATTGACACATCTACAGGCAAATATCTTTCTTACAACATGCTTAGATTTTCACTGCAATGCACAGGAGCTGAGAAAAAAGGTTTTCGATTAACATGCTTGTCTAATAATATATAGTAAATTAAATATAAATAGCCTCATGTTAAATCTCCATAAGAAAAGTCAAACCTGCACATCAGTGTGTAAATTAAGTATTGAAACAAATCTGTATTTTTAAAACCGAAATAGATAGAAATATTCTGTTTGTGGCAATAATTCTTAACAAAGGCTCCGCAATTTTTACATCTAAAATATTTTTTTTACCCCCCTAACATGGTAGGGGGTAAGGGTTGAATCATTTTTTTCAAATAGCAACCCCTATTGAGTGACCCCTCATTTTGAAGTATTTGTTAAAAGAAAAACAATGACGCAAACCCGAGGTAGATATCTCACCCCTAGCCTAAATGGTGGGTATTCCAAAATTTAATTTTTGTAAAAAAGCACCCATTTTGGAATATCCACCATTTTGGCTAGGGGTGAGATATTCAACTCGGATTTGCATCATTGTGTTTCTTTTGACAAACCCTTCAAAATGAGGGGTCACTCAATAGGGGTTGCTATTTGAAAAAAATAAGTCACCCATTACACCCTACCCTGTTAGGAGGGTAAAAAAATATTTTTGATGAAAAGAATTGCGGAACCTTTGTTAACAATTATTGCCACGAACAGAATATTTCTATCTATTTCGGTTTTAAAAATACAGATTTGTTTCAATACATAATTTACACCCTGTATATGACCAATAACCTTTCTTTTGGTCCAACCCGCGTGTAATTCGGTCCAGTAGTATGGCCAGGCTAGCTGTCATAAGCTTTTAATTTTGGCCCTATGTTAAATCTCCATAAGAAAAGTTAATTTTTATATTGGTTCCTATAGGTCGCCCCATGGTCGAAAACTTGAACAAAAAATATGCAATGTTAAGACTTCCCTATTTTCACCTCACACTGTAAATAAAACATGTGATTTGAATTTCTTCTATATGTTAGCGAATTTCCCTATAGGGAAGTAGCTATTACCGTAGGTGGCACGGTAAAACCTAGACCCGGGACCGATTTACTTTTTCATTTTGATGTCCCCAGAGGCCAAAAACACCATTCGTTCAAATTTTTATATATGTATATATATATAGACATATATATATATATATACGTCCGTGAACGCGATAACTTGAGTAATTTTTGTCCGATTTTGATGAAATTTGGTTTAAAGGTGTAAAGCAGGATAAACTTGAATGAGTTCGCGAACCAGCACGATCGGACCATGGGAACAGGGCTTTACGGGGGGTTTTATGGGGTAAAAATTGGTTTTTCTCACTTTTGACCCTCAAAACACAAAATTTCCTGATTTCTCTTTACACCTTTTTAAAGAGCTTAAAAAAACAAATAATTTAGTATATAAAAGTATTTTTGTTCAATTATTAGTAACGGAGAAAATTAAAAAAAATGTAAATTTAAAATTCCCATGTTATTCTTATGGAGAATATTGTCAAAAGTTGTAGTTTGCTTGTTTATGGATATATTTTGATCAAACTTGGCAAATTTATTTATTTTGTACTAAGCTATCAATATTTTACTCAAAAACACACTTTATTAGTTTCCTTGTAGCAGCAAACCTAGGTACTCGTTAAACCTAATGTTATTAAAATATATTTAACTGAAAATCAATTCAGACAAATGGAAATTCGCTTAGTCGGCAGGTTTGCTGCGGCGGGGGTATTTTGATTTTCTGTTTGTATGTTGTTGTTATTTTGTCACCAGCATGGCAACCCATAAGGCCCATGTTAGTTTTTGTAAAATTTAAAATTCATTTGTCGTGTTAATTTTTTAGACTATTTTATTTTATAAAGAGATGCTGCACATCTACAGTAAAATATATTTAATTTGGTACCAACCGTGTGTAATTCGGTCCAGTAGTATGGTCAGGCTAGCTGTCATAAGTTTTGCAAACGTTTTTTCAGTATATAAGATAATCGTTATTATGGACAACCTAATGCTGCTATGAGTGGGAAACATTTGTAGAAAGCACTAAAAAACAATACCAGCTTTTGAAAAACGATATAAGGTGTTTACAAGAAATGTTGATTATTTTGATATGTTTCATAAAAATCTATGTACAAGTAAAATATCTTAAATCCTTGATAAGGCCTACAATCAATTGTGAAACACAGCCACCAATGCCTTTGGTTTGAATAAGTAGAAGTTTGATATGCCATGTCAAGAGAGAGTTCCGTTTACTCACAATTCCTTCTAATCACCAGGTACGACAGGCTAGTTTGCATGACTCAGAACCACGTATGCAGATGAAGTTAATGCACCACTCTTTTGTTATGTTTAGTAAATTGTTTATTTTATATTTTATTACAGTTTTATGTAGGAATAGAAAATATAATACAGATAAATTTGCTGCGGTATTAGTTGAATAAATTATAAAATTATACATAATTGTCAACCTATTGTTTTTAAAATAGCAAATTAGGCCTACTAAAAATCATTACCTTTGTAACCTTATTACTCATACTACTACTATAAGAAAGCTGTAAGACAGTAGCCTAATAACACCCAAAGGTTTTTTAGAACTCTTCTCTCAATCCACAGAGACAAACGGATCCAATCATCCGTTTTAGGTATGCAAACTCAGGACCGACAATTGAGCGGATAGATGGATGTAAATCAAGAATCTTCTCTCTAAATACAGTTAAAAAAAATAACATATTACAATATAACAACTAAAGTCGTCATCTCTTATGCCTATCGACCTCTGATATTCTTATAAGTAGTAAATCTACAAACTTAGTTAAGATTTTGTTAGAGCCATATTTGTATTTATAATTTGTCTTTCAATCCTGTCATTTAGAGTTAACGCAGCTGATGCAAATATTTTCCTCTAACTTTAACCATTAGATAAAACATACTCATAACCAGTAGATGCATAAACAGCTGTATTGTCAATTTTCAACGGATTTTTTGATGGAAGCGAGGACAAGTTGTAAGGTTGACTAACCTGACAGTGTCGAACATTGTGACCAATGACAGAAGAGTGGTGACCAACAACACCATGCGGCCTGGCACCACCTCGGGGATGACGACAAACCCACCCCACGACATGATGACAAACAGAGTGCTTGGCAGATACGTCTCTAGCAGGTGGCTCCGTATCTCTCGGCTCATTGTCATCTTCATGCGGGCGGTCGAGTGGTTGCCTGTAACACGCCCATTATACTAACTACCAATACCATCCTTTAGATGTATATTCGGGCTTTTGGGATTTCAATTTATATGAGTAGAACACCATGTAATGCGAGTCCTTGATCTCTGATCTTTGGGCTTTAAATGATCCTGGCTAAGAACCAAGAAGCCACATAATTGTTTGGATACATTAGTAAAAAAGCTATAATTCATTTAATACTTAAGCTTCAACCATTTACCACACTTTCTGGTGTTTTTAGTATTTAGTAAACCAGCCAATCAATCTATAGTTCAAATAATCATCTTTTTTTATTAGTACAAGTGTACCACGCCAGGGTGAGTATTTAAAGGCGAAGAAGATGCGTAAACGATTGTGTTGCATTCATGAGATTAGAACTGTTGAGTATAGATAGCCTACTCTTTGATGGAAATGTCAACATTTGCAACATTTTTAAAATACTTTCTGAAGACTCTTTATTTTATAACAAAATCTATATTTATTTATCATATCATTTTGTGAAAGTCCTAATGATGGCTTTGAAAATGTTGTATTTTTCTCAAGGAATTTAAAAAAATATTTTAATTAGTTTATCTTTGTTCATATATTTATGAAATCACAATTAATCACCACACATGACGTTGTCATTAAATAATCTTTTTTAATTTAGGATTTCTTTGAAAGAGACACTGCCATGTTTTACCCAATAGCTTGTTTGAGTTAATGTTTACGGCATTGTATTTTACTCACGAAAGCCTTTCATTTGATGTGCATATCTTAGACATGTGTAGGTTGATAGGGTAGCTCTTTTTCTATTATTTGTTAAAATACCTAAACGTCCTAGCACTTCATGCCATATTTCAGGCTATGAAATAGCTGTTCCCTTGCAAAAAAAAAAAATAAATAAAAAGTTCAACCGACATAATTTAGGTCTTTTTTCTTAAAATATTTCAACAAGATGTGTAGTTAAATGTGTATTATACAAAAGTACTCATTTTGACACAACTGAGATTGGAGTCCATAGGAGTGGTTGTACATACCTGAGGAGTCACTAAAGAATGGTCCTGAGGTGTCCTTGGTAGAAACTGAGAAACCAAATATGTAAGAGTCCTTGATAGCATGATACACTGTAACAAGCCGAGCAATTGTGTGTGCAAATCAATAATTAACAAGCAGAATATAAAATATGCCAACAGTGTGTATAGCTTACAGTACATTGAAACTTACTGCAAATGAATCGTGATGAATGGTGTGCTGAATAGAGTGTTAAAAATAAACGGTGTATACAATTAATATATTGTACAACATAAATAAAAAAATAGGAGTATAGCAGTAAGTTAAACGGATACAATATTTTAGTCCATGTTCGTAGTCCTTTTTAGATAAGGATATTTTTGTTCAACTATTATATGCAAGACAATGTTTGTTCATGGTCATATTGATCTACTATAAAAGGGCAGGCAGGACAGTATAACCTTTGAGTATATGGCTTAGGGCTAAATGTGTTTAATTCAGTCCTCAGCAGTAGTTCAACTTTGATATTATGTTAAGTTTGCATTTAGTGTAAGTACTTATAAGTACATTACTGAATATTTTAATGCAGGTGAGATCACATTACTATACTGTATTGAAATGGACTCTTACAACTATACTTTTTGTTTAAATTAAGTTATGGTCAAATTTTAAAATAAATAAATAATGAATAAGCTTACAACAAGCTACAACGCGTTGTAGTGAACAATTTCACATTGCTTTTCTTATTCGCAATGGAGAAGTCAAAATGATTCAAGCTATGTTAACAGATTCAACCCCCCAAGGCATTACTATTTTAGAAAGTAACTTTTCTAGAATCATAAAGAAATCAATTTTTGATGTTTATGATGCCACTAGTTTAAAAACAGGTTTTTTTAAGGAGTGCAAGTTTTTTGTCTTGTAGGGATTTGATTGCTATTCTTTTGAAATTTAGATCCAATCTGGCCACTTGCCGCAAAGCTGCAACTCTTATGTATACTGATTAGAGGTCGAATTGAAAGTATATTTTGGCATCCACCGACTAAGCTTGTGATCCTATTTTGAACTTTAATGCTCACCCTTGTCTGGCTCATTTAATAATAATAGCCATGCAATTATAGTTAATCTCTAACTATAATATAAGAAATAAATAAAAGGCATCCATAAAATTCTTCACTTACCATCACAATTATGCCCTAACTAAATCTTTAATATCATTTACCAAAAATTTGTCATGAACATTTCCAGAAATAAATCAAATAAAAAAAACATATTTTGGTTGAATTTTCAAATAAAGTAAAATTTACCTATTAAAGAGTAAAAAATGTAAAGCCATGTTAGCTACAGCTTGAAATGAGTAGTATGTAGTGTATGTAATGTCGCTTTATATCATGCATTCTCTATGCAAATCTTAATGTTTAATATTAATGACAATTGAAAAATTGTAGTAAAAGACTCAGTGAATAATTTATGAACAAGATAACGTGATTATGTGTTGAACATTAGTATCTCATACTTGATTCAATCTTTAATTTAGTATTTAGAAAATAAATTGTGCGGAGTTTATAAAGTGTTTTATCATTCAACAACTTAAGACATAACAAGTTACCTTCGCCATAGAAGACGTTGTGTGTTTTGTTCTCAGTTACGAAGGAGACGACGTATTTAGGCAGTCGGTAACCATCGCCGAAGTCCGAGGGGAAGCTGAGAGGAGGATCGTTGCGCCAGACAAACTTCATGTCATCAGCTGTGTATTTGTCTGTCGGATTATACAGTAGTATGAACAAATTATGTTGATAGCTACTTTTAACTGGGTGGTGAATATAACCTGCATCGTTTAGGTTAAATTAATTTGATTATTAATTAATCAGAAGTACATATTATTTTATGTTTATATTTTGTAATTATCAATAATTGTTTGCTTATCTATATTACAGGATCATCAATCAAAGCTTGATTATCAATCGACATTAATCTACTTGTCTAAAAAATAACCATAGTGTATAAATAGTTTTATTTGTGAACATGATTTTTATAAACAGTTTTTAATTGTCGATAGTTTAAAAATTACTATTGATGTTTTGGCAGATTTGTAATTTAAAAAGATACTTTTATTAAAACTCATTGGCCCTTGTGTGCTTCAGAAACGGAGTCTCTGGCCCTAGCTTGTGTTGATTACCATCCAATAAAACTATTTGTATCAATTGTATAACAAAGTTATTAACTTACAACTGCTGAAGTCCACTGCACACTCCTGAACATCCAGAGGGTACAACACGAAGTCCATATCACATTTGATTATCACAGTCGCTCTGGAAAATGTACAGATTAATTAATTTTATTCTATAAAGTTAATCTATATATTCAAGGTAGGCAATATATTCAGGGTATTAAAGGTCGGTACCCCGTAATACCCTATATAATAGGTATAAAGTACCCCGTATTTTTTTTTGTTTTAATATTGAATGAGAAGCAATAACAATTTATTAAAAGGTTGGCAATATTATTAGATTTGAAATTCTGATAAATCTGCAAGACAATCACCTAACCCCCTTCATAGCAACACTACAATGGTATCACGAGTGCTGACCATTGGCTTTGCTAAGCTGACAAATATATAATTTAAATGCTTCGTTACTGATTACTATTCTCATGATGCTGTCCTATTATTTAGTTTTTCTGTACGTGACCTATGGTCATGGAACTCACCCTATGCTGACACGCATGGTTTGGTTGCGGAACAGCCGCACAGAGGTCATGTCCTGGAACAACGAGAGAACCTTCATCTCTCTCAGCTGGCGGATGTACAGGTCTGGCACCCAGAAGCTGTTCTCCTTCCCCCACGTCAGCTCCAGGTGATCCTCTCCAGACATGTTGTCAGCGATCCTGATACGTCGGTCCGTCCAGTACACTTGGAGAAACACCTCCAGCGATATCTCCTACAACACATTGACCATGGTAATCAGACCGAAAAATTAGAATTGCATGTATCCTAATAAACAACACATGTTGTAGGAAAAACTGAATTTTCCTCGTTATATGAGAAAAAACTCAAAATTCTTACATGTTTGAAATTTTGTGTAAACGTAGCCTTTTCTTAACAAGTTTCTCTGCAAAAACCAATACGATTTGCATAGCTTGGTTTAGCCTTCTTGAAATTTAAAATCGTTAGTTTTGCATTATTCTATTGCTTTTATTGATCATTGAGAATGTTACAAGTATGTTTATAAAACAGTCTTTTCTGAAGAATCCCACTCATTGTAAGCACTTCATGGGTGGCGGCCTTTTGTTATTAGACAGGTGAACCCTTAATAGTTTAAAATAATTGTGTGAATGAACTAAAATAATTTGCCTCTACAAAAATAATTAATAATAAGTAGGCTATAATAGGTCAATAATTAATTTTAGGTGAGTCGATGGCTCGGTTGGTAGCGTCACGGACTTCGGCCCAGGGCAGCGATGACGTGGGTTCGTATTCTTGTCACTGCCGCAAACATTTTATCAGTACAGTTCACCTTCGTACTGTACCTTGCTTTGCTGGATACGTTCCACGCACAGATCTGTAGTCTATGTGGACGGGAAAATTCAAGGTTAAAAGAGGCCGCCAACCTCTTAAGAAATGTTTCATAAAAAACGTATTGCTTATTTCCGAAAGGAATTGGTGTGGATGAAATTATCGAGGTTATAAAAACGTTTTGGGATATTTTATATCACTTTGGTATTTACTGTAATTCTGAACATAAATAGTAAAGTACCTAAAGTGTGTGTAGGATTTTGGGATTGGGGACTGGTTTAAAAACATATTTTTATTCCTTCCTCTCATCACTTCACACATTATAAACGATCTAAATTAAATGATATTACCAACAAAAATGCAACTCTTTTAAATAAATGAACACCATAATACTCTTATCAGGGTTACACGATAAATGGATAAACTCTGACAAATATTAGCAGTTAAATTGAAAACAAACAACAAGAGAGTATATGTGAAATACTCTCCCTCTAAATTTAAAAACCGGCAAAACTGTTTTCTATATCTGCGAGGAAACTTGCAAAAACGAGACGTAGGTGTGGACAGAACTTTGGGCTTCCATGAATATGTAAATGCTGCGTCCACATCGAGATGTTGAACATGGAAGATGTTCATTTGTAGCCGACGCTGCGTTTGCCCTCTCCCAGGCAAACATCAACTTCCACGTTTTTGTTTACCTTTTACTTGTTAAGCGACTTCAAATATATTTTTAACCTGTGGTTGTTTCCATACCTTTACTATCAGAGGTTGGTTTTAATATAATCTTTATCTCAGACAGAGAGTTGTTGTAATACTAGTCAAAGGTTGTAAAATTCCTCGGTATTTCAATGCAAAACAGTGTTGGATATATTCGATATATTTTATTACAATTTCACATTTTATTCATCGCACTTTCAAAGTAATCCTACTTTGGTTATTAATTAGATTTAATTTTGCTTGTCACGATAATTTTAGGGGTATACCTTGCTAAATGTCAAACTTGAACCTCTTTAGACCATTGGGTTATAACCATTATGTTTATAATAAAACATTATATGTACACAGTTTTCTTACTTGTGTAGGGCCTATTGTTAAATTGTTAACAATATAGGAAATGTTTAAATAATGTTTGTGGGGGGATTTTGCAGACACGTGACCAGTAAAGTAGATTTGTACGCTGGACGACAAACTGCCATCCAAAATATACAATATACATACATTTCATGTAATAAAAGTACACATTGGAGAGTAAGCCTAAAACATATTTATACAAAAGTCTGGTTTTTAGATACATGTATTACAAAATGTAAGTCTAGTATGATGAAAAATATAAAATAAATAAGAACTAATAAATTAAAGACTTTAAGTTGACAAAGCGCCTTGACAAGGATCTGCAAAACTACAGCAGTAGTTAGATTGCTTCGAGAGATTTGAAGGCGTTTCACTTGACTAAGCTGGAACCGTACTATAGCCTCTATCTCTCTACTCACTTACCTAGAACGCTTAATAGTTAAGGAGAAAATTACAAAAAAAATGTAAATTTAAAATTGTCTTGTTATTTTGATGGAGAATAAAATAAAACTTCGTACTTTGCTTGTTTATAAATATATTTTGATCATTTAGTTTATCAATTTATTTCATACGAAGCTTTTGATATTCCATTTAAAACACACGTTAATACTTTCCCCATAACAGAAAGTGTTTAAACCTAATATTTGTAATTGAGAAATAAATCGGACAAGTTATGAAACTGAAAAGCCAACCAAGCATATTTAAATTCATCTAGTACGCAGATTTGCTTTGGCGGGGGTATTATTTTAGATTTTGTTCGACCCGTATAAGAAAAAAAATTGTAACTTGAACGTTTTTTACATGATTAGGGATGGGATTGAATACGTTTATACATATGTAAAATTTTGGCCTTTGGATCGCATTTTTTGGCAAGCGTTTCAAAATGTAGATATTAACACCTCATTATTTTTATTGATAACCATTTAAAATTAACTTTAGTCCTCGTATGCCTTGAAGCGATAACCTTATTGATTGACTACTTTTACTATTTTACCGCGAAATGCATTGTTATTCATAACATTTTCTTGATGTTGGTTTATTTGTATAACGTCCCAGTTTGTACAATTGCGCTTACTATAAATTATAAATTAAGTAAACGGGATAGTTTTCTTGCTCTAATTTTTATGGATTGTTATTACCTACTGTTACTTTGTTATTGGAAGTGCAATGTTTGAGTAAATATTCCTAAAACTTTATTCAGTAAAATAATCTCAAAACTCCACATAAACCACATAAACCACTACGCAGTCCTGTTGCAGTGCCCCAGACAAGACTCTCTATATACAAGACTCACCCATCATCAAAGTTGCTTTACAATAAATAACACCGCATTTCTTATCATTGTGATCCATCGTGTGTTCGTGATGAATTGTTGACAAAAGTGTATAAACTGTACTATGATCAGAGCATTTTATAACTCAGCACTTAAAACTTCATCCACAAGTTGAGGCTAAGTTTTTTCAGAGACGCAAACACATGCATATTCAATCAAGGGACTGCGTCATCATATTCAATTCTTCACTCTTTATCTCTAGAATTTCTTTTCACTTTTACAATTTACATATAAAAAGGTTTTGTTAAACAATAAATATTATTTTGTGATTATTTTGTATTATTTACTTACAAATTATAAACACGGTTCTTGGCATGCCTGCTCACCTAGTAATCTATTTACTTTTATTGGTTCATGGTGTAAGTCAACTTATTAAATGAAAATAAAACATAACAAATACTTTGGATTGGATAGTTAATAGACTAAATGGATAGACATTAATTAAATTTCTAAATAAATCTGAACGCCTCAGTAGTTTCAATAATTAATAACTACTAGAAAAATGAAACAACAATCAAACTACGTATATACAATTTGACCTTAAACAATTCTTGTGACTTATAGTAATTTCTATGTTTCGTATTGACTATCCTTATCAGTTTGATCCAACAAGTTTTACACTTAAATTCAATAAGGTTTTTCCATGTAACATTCCTTTACCAGCTTTCCTACTTAATCGAGTTTTACGGTTGTGGTGTCATTTTAAGGCTTATGATCCAGCACACATGCGAATGGGAATTAAAAAGGCAATTTTCCTTGGGGCCTCGCCCACGTTTAATTTATTCCTTGAGTTCATTTTCAAAGATCCAGTTATGCTTACCAACTTTTTTTATAACAGTTTATAATTATGTGAATTTAACAGCTGTCCCTTCAGTTGAATGATAAACCACAGCCATATTGTAAACAAGAGACTACGCAGTTTATGAAAATAGTACCTGGGGACCGAGCTCGGGGAAAATCATTCCCCCACTCTGCGATGCCAGCTTTTACTACTTCCTTCACCACGTCCTACGTCATGGACCTGTTTCCTTCCCTTCTCATAGCATTTAAGTATTACAGATACATTAATCTAACTGCCACAAACGGTTCCCACACTCTGTGATGCTAAGCTTTACTACTTCCTACGTCGTGGACCTGTTTTCATCTCTTTCCATAGCATTTTAGTATTTTAAATACATCAATCTAATTGCCACAAACATTTCCCACACTCCGCACTGCTAGCATTTACTTCCTCTTTCACCATTTCCTATGTCTTGGACATGTTAAAAAGAAAAATGATTTATGGCCAATGTTTTGTCTATAAGCTGCGGTGTTTGTGGCGTCTGTTATGTCTGTTTTGTTACGTCAGAAAAAAATGTATTAAATATTTCTGACACTAAGGCAGGTTTGCAAATCTTTTTCCCTCCTTCGACTTCAAGACACACTTTATCAACATGTTTGTTCTTTGGGGCCGTAAAACCTTAAAACTGTTTTAAGCAATCTTAGTTTTGAAAAGGTAAATGGGTAAAGCACTGGATTCATTTTGCCTCAGAAATAGGTTGTGGACTTGTGTAACTGCACAATTTGCGCTCGGCCCCCGCTCGTTTATACCTTATTTGCAACAGTGATGGTTATGTTTTAATAACTTCTTCATTAGCAAGTAAAGTGGTGTAGAATTAATTCTATCCGTTCACTGTTAAACGTAAAGTGGCATAATTACACTTTTAATATTTAATAAATACAAGTTATTATTCACGTGATAGTCCCGGATCAATAATAAATATACATTAAAATAACAAATACATTAATCAACATTGTACAAATGTATTTAAGTTTTACATTAAGTACACCAATACAATAGAATCTCAAAAAGCATTGAAAAATCCAAGTAGTGAGACGTTGTACGGCACAAAGCAGTGTAGCGCGAACTAGCATGTTTACAAATAATAAAACCGCTGCTGTATGTAAACGTAATACAAGACAGCATTGCGCAATAAACAAGTCTGAGTGGTTCAGTAAACCTTAGTATGTATTGGAGTTGC